TTGCAGTATAAGAGTTCTGCGTGGAACAGGTGAATTTAGGGAATATGTGATCTCTTGGCAATGTATTGAAAGTTTCATTTTTTACTTGTAATTTTCACACATAAGCATAAATTACATGATTCATGGATTTTCAGTTTCAGTCTTAAAAACATACTCTTTGAGAGTCTGTATTCTGTTTACCTACTGATTTACTTTTGCTGTTGACACATTTACTTTTTCAAGCAACAAGTGTGTACTTTGATCTTTTTGTGTGTGTGTGTGCTGGTGCTATGGATTGAACCCAGGACCTTCACACTGAGCTACATCTCCAGCCCTTTTTATTTTTTATTTTGAGACCGGGTCTCACTAAGTTGCTATGTTGCCCAGGCTGAGTGCACACTTGTGATCCTCCTGCCTCAGCCTCGAAGAGTGCTGGGATTACAGGTGTGCCGCCACTCTTGACTCTAAAATGTTTATTACATACCTTCCGGTAATCTGTGCCTATGAAAATTCTTGCTTCTTATTTTCTTCAGGTATTTTCAAAATAAGCATAGCTTCATACCAATCCTCTGTTCTCTGACTTAGTATCTTCTCCGTTCCCATTCCGTTGGTAGTTTCCTGCTTTTTAAGAACACCTTCCTTTTCCAGTTTGTACTTGTGCCATTGCTGAATAACACTATGTGTCCTTCTCTGAATGTTAGCTCCTTGACAGGGATCACTGGGGAGCCTCGCCTGCCTGCAAAGAAGTGAACTACTCTGGTGTGTGGTGCAGCTCCTAGGGTCAGGAGGTTCCATTCTGTGGTTCAATGTGACTTTCCTGAATGAAACGGACCCCTCTCCCCCAGCCCTGTTCCCTCCATGTTCTTTCCACATCAGCTGGCAGCCAGTTGCTCTGAATGTGCCCACAAATTATTAGCTGTTTTGCATTTTGGCCCCCCAACTTGTTTTTTGAATAATGGATTTATGTGTTTTGGATCCATAATTATGTTGCTTAGTGAAGGAGATGTAATCTGTGCCAAGGAATGCCTAAAATTTAAGGCCTGGTTCCAGAAAAAAGTGTAATAACAATAGTAGTTATGCAATTATGAATATAGTAGTCTCCCCTTTATTTCTAGGTGAGATATTTCAAGACTTCCAGTAGGTAACTGAAACTACAGATAGTACCAAATTCTATAAATACTGTTTTTTCTATACATGCTTACCTATTATAAAGTGTAATATATAAATTAGACGCAAGTAAGAGATTGACAATAACTAATAATAAAATAGAGCAGTTACAGTAATATACTATAAAATTTATGTCAGTGTTCTCAAAACCTTATCATACTATAAATCTGAGCAACTTCAGGAAATAATTCCTTATTAAGATGAGAATTTTCACTTTTTCACGGAAAGGAAGCACTTTGCAGCTTTTCTTTGGCATATCCAAGTTGCTAAACATCGCTATTCTTGTGCTTCAAGGCCATTAGGAAGTAAAATACGGATTATGTAAACACAAGCACTGTGATATTGTGGTGGTTGACCTGGTAACCAAGTTGACTACTAAGTGACTAAGAGGATAGCATAATGGGGAGTGGGTACTCTGGACAAAGCAATGTTTCCCATCACAGGCATGATGGAGCAAGATGGTACGAGATTTCATCCTGCTATTCAGAGTAGGGTATAATTTAAAGCTTTTAAATTGTTTATTTTTGTATTTTCTATTTAATAGTTTTAGACTATAGTTAGCTGCAGGGCACTGAAGCTGTAGAATGTGAAACTGGGTAAAATGAATGAATACTGCTGTGTTGCATGTTTACCACGCGCCAGGCATTATATTAAGCAGGTTGCATGCATTAGCTTAGTTAATTGCCAGCAACTCTTTAGACAAGGTTCTATTGTTGCCCATATATTATACATAAGGAGCCACAGAAACATATAATTTGCTCAGTGTTACACATTAAGGAATAATTCCAAAATTTTGAGTCCAGGTCGCTTGGCTTCAGAATCCTTGTTTTTGAGACTGTCTTCATCTGTTAGGCAAAGCTTTACCTTTCGGTATTTCTTGGAATCTTCAGTCTCATGGTACTAAAGAGTATAGACAAGAATCTGCTGTTTTAATATATTAAAACTTCTCTCTTTTCCATGTCGTAGGATAATTTTGTATCTAACATCATTTTCCCCAAGAAAAGAATAAATTTCATTATGTAGCACTATATTTCCTTCATGTTAAATCAGAAGTGTTTGTTACAAAGTGTAAAACTACTTGTATTCTAAACATTTCTCTTTATTGTTATAATTTTTATTGGCTACATGGTATGGTATATGTTCTAAGATCCTAATAGCCAATTTTGTTCTCAGATGATTAACTTTTGTTTTCTGTTTACCTTTGTAAGATCCTGTGCCTCAAAAAGTGAATGAATTTCAGAGTGAGTCCACTATGAATCACAGGGGCCCCACTATATGACTTCCCCCCTTACAGTATAGCCCAGCACTCCCCTGAGGATGAAAATGTGAAAAATGTGGTCATTTGCCTTGACACAGCCTCCACCCCCTGGACATTACTCATTGTCTGCCATCAGTTAGTAGAGTGTGAAAGTGGTGGGGCCCTTCAAGTGCAAGCCTCCCTGTTGATGTCCCCTCTTAAGATATGTGCTTCTCAGCCATTGCACATTGTGGCCTATACAGAAAATCATTTCTTTTGAAGGGAACAAATGAGGCTTCCTGAGACCTGAGACAATCCGTTGTCACTTACAAGCCATTTATTTCAGTTGAAAGTTCTGCTGTGGATATCAGTTGATGAATTTCTAAGCTTCTTTGGTGTATGAAAGCACTCTGCACTCTATAAGTTGCCATTTATATTTAAAAATTACAGTGGTGCCCTGGTTCACGAATTTAATTTGTTCCATGATTTTGGAAAAGACTGTCACGTTTGTGTTTGTGCAAGAAAGATGGAGGCAATTGTGTTTGTCATCCGATGTAGAGTTTGTAAACAAATGAAAAAATTGCCAAATGCTTTTGCTTGTGAATCAAATTTTTTTTTTGGTATTGGGGATTGAACTTGGACCTTGCGCTTGCAAGGCAGGCAGCAGAACCACTGAGCTACTAAATCCCCGGCCCTGTGAACCAAATTGTTCTCAAACAAAAGTGTTTGTGAACCAAAGTGCCACTCTACTAAGTAAGACCCAGATATTTGTTCCACAGAGGGACATTGTTTATCATGGTATTTTTGCTTTGGGTGCTGTTGTGAGAGATGCAGGAACAGAGTTAAGCTTCTATGTGTGATCTGGCACAATAATGAGAAGTAGAGATGCTAGTGGTCAAGGGTTGTAAGGTTCAAGATTTCTTGAGATCAAACAGCTGGTATTATTGAGTCTGCTGTTTCTCTTCATAAAACTTTCTACCTCTTTTTCTGCCTGTCCCAATTCTTTCTGCTGTCAGATTCTGTCTTCTTTGTGAATTTGTACTTTGTGTTTATCTTTTCTCCCCAGCTCAATTGACTGCACTTGAATGCTGTGTTATCTATTTTATGCACCTCTTTCCCCTCCTAGATTGTGAGTTCCTTGAAGTTAAGGCTGTATCTGATTGGTTTGTTGTAATTTGAGCTACACCCAGTTCATCACATTCCATCAATAGGCGAGCCTTCAGCACTCTTGGAATTAAGCTGGACTTTGTCTTCCTGTGCCTTTCTGCTATTAGTCTCATTCCAACACTTCTGAAATAATTCCAGATAAAGTTACCTTAATCCCAGTCATTCATATATTTGAACAGTCTACCTTACGTAGTTCCATACTGGCTTTATTTTTCTGAGCTAAACATTTTTGCTGTTGGAAATTTGCTTCCCTTGTTCTTGTTTTCTTTCCTTCTCCCAGTATATAGAATCTTAGAATTTTAAGGATTGGAGGGGACTAAAGTTTGCCTAGTCCTTGCTTTTCTTCTAATATTGATTATATTCTGATTAAGTAACTGAAACTGAGACAGAGATATTTTGGGGATAAGATAAATATTTTAGTTACTTCACTGAAAATGATGAGAAAGTTTAGATTTAGTAGATTAAAATAAAGTCCTTCATCTTTCATTCTGTTTTAAAATGTAAGTGCTGCTGGGTATCTTCAGAATAATGGGCAAGATGAAAAGATATGTTTTATGCTGAAGTAGTGTATGTTTCATATTCTTATGACATTGTTAAGAATTTTACTCAGGGCCAGCATACCTGGATCTGCCCCATACTAACTATAAATTACTTTATCTTGGATTACTTACTCCTAGTATGCCTCAGTTTCTGTATTAGTAAAACAAGGTTTATAATAACATGGGTTTTAAGAGGTTTCAATGAGATAGTATTGCAGAGCGCTAAGAATTAATGGTGGCCACTAAGTAAACTTTGAATATCGTGCCACTACCTCCACCACACTACCACCAGCACCACCAGCACCAGGTCTGAGTTTTACTAGCACCTGGTGAGGTGTGGAAAGTCGCTGCAAATGTTCTGGTAGAATCTTACTAAAATATTGTGTACCTGTCCTATAAACTTCTGTCTTAACAAGAGGCCTTGCATTTCACATTCTGATTTAAAGCATTACTTCACCAAGACTATAACCATATTTGTGGAGTTATGAAGTATTTTGTCATGGGTTTTACTTTATAAGCAAATTTTTTTTAAATGGTAGAAGACCCATTATCTTATGAAGCCTGTTCCTTTGAGACAAACTTCCAAGGAATTCATTTTCTGTCTTATTTAAGAGTACAAAAAAAAATTAAGTAAAAAAAGACTGGGGATGTAGCTCAGTGGTAGAGGGCTTCTCTAGCATACACAAGGCCTTGAGTTCAATCCTCAATACCACCACCACCACACACACACACACACAAAAGTAAATTCATTTTCTTCATTGATATTCCAAAAACAAAATATCGGCAGTTTTTACTTTGTATGATATAATGTGGTTTTTTGTATAATATAATGTTTTAAAATTAATTAACTTTTCCCAAGTAAATTGCTTTTTAATAATGCATCAGAGTAAAATTTCTTCCTTTATTGTCAGGTTGCTATCAAGATCATAGATAAGTCCCAGCTGGATGAAGAGAACTTAAAGAAGATTTTCCGGGAAGTTCAAATTATGAAGATGCTCTGCCACCCCCACATCATCAGGCTTTACCAGGTAGGATGACTGGTGGTATAGTGCGTGGCTGTAGGGAACCCAGAGCGGTGTATTGTATGGAGGACTGGAGCATGTGAGGCTCTCTGTATTTCCATGTTTATCCTATTTACCTCTTCCTTCTGTTTCCTCACCAAGTTCTTAATAGTTTTCCTGTTTCCCCTGGCTATTTACTAATGACATCTGCTTTACCTAGGTAAGTTGTTTAAATGTGTTCTTTAAAACTTGATGATTTTTTGAGCAAGAATTACTCAAAAAGATTATTCAGAAGATGACAAGAATTTACTTTATGGCGGTCAGAGTCCTAAATCAGCTTGGGAAGCCCTTTTAAAAAAGGGACAGAATTCTGAGAGATTAAAAGCCAGAGATGAGGGCCAGGGATTTAGCTCAGCGGTTTCGCCGCCTGCTGCGCAAGCGCAAGGACCCGAGTTCAATCCCTTGTACCAAAAAAATAAAAAAAATAAAAAAAAAATAAAAGCAAGAGATGAAATATGTTACTTTTATAAAAGATTATTTAAAAATTAATTCCTACAATCATATTATGAATTGTGATGGCAAAGGATATTTTAAGTATGGTTTCTTGCATCAGTGCATTCTAATATGATCTTGGACTTAGTTTCCAAGATAACATTTAATTACTTTGATAATCCAGAGACAAGATTCTATGCCATGGGAAAGATTTCTGTTTTTGTTTTTTTTTTACCTTCCTAAGAAAGATGCCTGTTTCATGACATCATCAAAATGATTCTCTGGCCTTAACTGGAAAACCAGTTAAGTCTGATGGCTAGAATTTCAAGCTAGATAGGAGGGGAGTACCTTGCCTTAGCAAACGTGGTAGAAGAGATATTTTGGGAGAGGTGAGGTTTCAGGGTGCTTCTCATATTGCAGCATGCTGGCAGCAGCAAGCTCTGCTTGTGCACAGGGCCAGCTCTGCTCACTGCTTTCCACCAGAACAGTCATCTCCAAAGTTCTGAAGGAAGTGGCCACCCACTCAGTTTGTTTGCTGCTGTTAATCTGCAGTAAATGGCTTCTGACCTGGACGTGGGACTGTCTAAAAGCCTGGAGAAAGTACATTCATGGCACATTGGGCTGGCTTATGTAACCTGTTAATTTTATGGAAAAAAACCCCCAAAAAACACATTGTACTGTTGGTGTGTGGGGTTAAGGCTATAGCTTTAGAAGACTTCTCTGGCATCAGTTGCTCACATGATGAAATGAATTAGGCCAACAGGAACAGACCTGTTGAAATTTATCAGGTTAAATTATATTGAGCAACACTTACACTCTGGCCAAGAAGCAAGCTTGTGAAAGCTTCTGGTGTTGCCTGAAGACCTATAGTGTGAACTCACAGGTGTCTTGACCTCAGTTCCCTTCCTATCCTGGTAGACTGAATAAACTTCTTGACCTCATCTTTTAAAATAAGTCATCTTAAAGTAATCAAGGGGCTTAAACTAACTTTTCCAAAAGGTGAACTTGAAGATGTTAACCTTATACCTGAATTCTACAAGCTTACCAGTCTTACCCAGGGTTCTACTAGTTTATAAAAATTTTCCTTCTTCAACCCTGCCTTTGAACAGTGAGTGCCTTCTTTCAATCTTTTCATTTTGTTTTCTGGCAGATAGTATCATTAACTAGAGTCTAGTTGCAAATAAATGACAAAATGTCTGCATATGGTATCAAAATAGTTTTCTGGCCCGTTTCCTCAGGATTATAGAGTGAGCAAATACAGGTAACTGTACAGGAAGCAGTAGTTTTTGAACCTCTGAAAAGTTTAATGAAAAAAACATTTGCAGTTAATTAAAGGAATGGAGGACAAAGGGAAAATGCACAATCTGACACTATTAAAATTTTTTCTAAATACCTGCATATATTTAGAGCATTTTTTGTCATATAAATTAACATAGGGAGAGAGCCCTTGGAAGTAATATGTGTAACAATAGGGTGATACTTCTAGTATATAGTTTCTAAAAAGAAAGATAATAAAAAAGAACAACATAGCTATTAGATTTGAAAGTTAATTTAATATGTACTCATATAATATGAAGTCATTAAAAAGAGATTGATCATGGTGTTATAACACTGTGCACATATGATATATAGACACAAAAGAAAGTAACTAGGAAATAATTAATTGTAAAATATACTAGAAGTCTAGAACTATATTGTCCAATATGGTAGCCACTAACTACATGTGACTATCGAAATGTGAATAGAGTAACTGAGGAACTTGATATTAAATTTTATTTAATTTAAATATAAAAACTCAAACAGTTGGGGCCGGGGATTTAGCTCAGTGGTTCCGCCACCTGCTTTGCAAGCACAAGGACCCGAGTTCCATCCCCAGTACCAAAACAAACAAAAAAAACAAAAAAAAACCTCAGACAGTTGACAATTTTTTAAGATTATTGAAATGATAATATTTTGGAGATATTGTGGTAAGTAAAATTTATAGTAATTATAATAATCTTAATAAGTAATATTATTAGAAGCATTTTCTCCCTTTTAAATTTTTAAATGTGGCTACTAAAAAAGTTGAAATTTCATGTGCAGATCACATGTTTTTATTGTACACTACTGCTGTTGAAGAATATATAATAAATTAAGTGTTCCCCTGGAGGAGTGAGACAGAAGATTGGGAAAAGGAACACCTGTGGCCTTCTGTTCATATACTAGGTATTTAAAATGCTTATAATAAATGTAACACATACTCATGTATTTTTAAAAAAAATGATGAAAATGATAAAAAGGAAGAAAAGACTTAAAACATGCTACAATGAATTTTTTAAAAAGACAAAATACAAATGAATAATTATTTAAAGGGCAGATATTTTAAATTATTAGTTTTTTGTTTTTTATACCCAGGGTCTCACTGTGTAGTTCAGTCTGGCTTTGAACTCATGGTTATCCTCCTGCCTCAGCCTCCCAAGTGCTGGGATTGTAGGTGTGTACCACCACTCCCAGCCTGTTCCTTTTTTTGAATAAATGGGCAGTGGAAAGGAAAATATTTTCTATTTTAAAAAGTAAGACCAAAGTGATTTCTGTATAGTTCTTAGGTGATTCTTATTATTTTCCCTAAAGCTTTTTTTGTTTGTTTTGGTTCAGGCTGGGGGTGGGGGTGGGGGTGCACCTTTTTGACTCTTGTAATTGATGCTGAACTTTTTAAAAGCTCTCAACAGCTTCTTTGCTTCTCACTTGTGTGGAGCTTAACAAGTTGGAGACTTCATGGAACAACAAAAGGACCATGTCTCCCAAGTAGCAAGTGTTTCCTTTTATAACTTTGAGAAATGCCTATTTTCTCCTTTTTTTTTTTGGTACCGGGGATCGAACTCAGGACCTTGCACTTGCGAGATAGGCACGGGAACCACTGAGCTAAATCCCGGGCCCTTTTTTCCCTTTCTTATTATCATTCATATTTGTGCCCCCCACCCAAATGTTTTAAATCTTCTTTAAGTATGGAGTAGTAATGGTTTTTCATTCAAATGACAAAAGAGGAGTTACTGGTTTCTCTTCTGTGGTATCAGCCTGTCATTTGTGTCATTATCACTTTCCTGCCTTTGTACCAGGTTATGGAGACAGAGCGGATGATTTATCTGGTGACAGAATATGCTAGTGGAGGGGAAATATTTGGTAAGTAAATTTATTGCATTCTTTAAACAGCTATTGAGCACACTATAGCAACCCTAAAATAGCTGTCCAATGCTTTTGTCATTTGAGCAGCTGTCACTTGATGCTGTTCTTCGGTACTTATTTTCCTTCTTTTTAGTGTTCTCCAAGTTTTTTATGAAAAAATAAAATTCTATAGTCAAGTAATAAGAGTATAACAATAGTTATTACTTGAGAACATAGTGTTACGTGAAATAAGTAGAAACACAAGGTCAAATATTGCATAGTTTCTCATATATGAGAATCCTCTCTCTCTCTCTCTCTATGTATATATATATACGTATATTATACGTATATATATACGTATATTATACGTATATATATATACATATATATATATTAGAGATAAATAGGAAATAGGGAGAAGTTCAAATACTTCACCAAATTATAAATTCTATTGTTTTAAAAATACGTATATTTCAATATCTATGTTAATCACTTGAAAAGAAAGCTTCGTTTTATCTCTTTTTTGTAAGAATCTTTTTGGTTTATGTTTAATACTGTTATTTTTCTATGAACAAAGCTATTTTATTTTGTCTTTTAATTTGTCTGTAAAATTCCTCTGACATCTTTGTTTCTTTAACAAAGGTATTTTGTTTATTTCAATCAGGTGCTGACAGTTGAGATTAAAGATCTCTAAAACCAAACATCCCTTCTGATCAAATGACCAAGGGTCTTTCCTGTTGCCAGGTTCTTCTGAGTTGCCAAGTGTGACAGACAGGCTTGCTGGCTCTGTCATGTCACAATGCACCACTTGGAGTATATGGTCTTACCCTAGTGCAGGGATAGTGAATCTATTATAGCCTTCAATGATGTAAACAGCTCTCTATGGCACAAGGGCCATAGGTTCCTTACCACTTCCTACTGCCTTCCTTAATCTTGGTTTAAGTACAGCATAAAACTATGTTCCTTACCATGTGTTTGTTGACTCCTCTTGATGAGTCTTGTAATTTGGAAGTTTTGCCTTCAGGAGCTACTTTTTTTCTCTCACACTCAGCTTTAGCACAGCATGAGAAATAAGCAAGAGAATTTGTTACTGGCAAATCTGACTTTTTGAGATGGTGAAAACTGGCAAAGGAATTTTCTCTGGTAACAGTGATAAATGGAGCCAAATAGAGATAAAGAACAAACTTTCCAACTAAATTCATGTGTCTTTTTTCCCCTTTTTCTTCTTTTGGCAACTAGAGGGTAACTATCTATAAATTTAGGATTATCTAATTTCTTTTTTTCCTTAAGATTTGTTATCAATCTTATAAATATGAATGCTTACTAATTTAAGGTAGATTTATTTATAAGCATAGCATTTTATAAGTGGAATCTTATTAGTGACAGGACAGTTGTGTCTGCACAGATAGTGTGTTTGTGTGTGTGTGTGTGTGTGTGTGAAACTTTGCCTAGAAATGTATGTTTTTGTGTCTAACAATTTTCAGGATAAGTGCTGGTGTTTTTTAAAAGACTAAGCATTTCTTAGTTTCATTTTTAATTGGCTTTGTGTATATGCTTATTTTATGCTAAAGTTAATAGTGATGAAATGAACTTTATAATCAGAATATAGTGTTGAAGGGAATATTTTATTTCAAAGAAATTAATGCATTAAAAGGTTTGAAGAATAGTATCATATATCAAGGAGATCCAGTAGGTTTTTAGTGTGTATAATAAGTATACCCCAGTCATTTGCCTTGGAGAAGCTGACTTTATGTTAAGACACTAGTTTCCCCTCTGTGAAGCAGTCTGATAGGAGACAGACATGAAATCAGCATGTTGCCTGGACCATGGAAATCAACACTGTGAGACTCTGTGCAGGTTAGAGCAGCAACACAGATGACTTTGTGCTTGATTTGTTGAGATTGTGGGTGTCCTCTTGCAAGATGTGGTTATATGGAAGTCCATAAAGCAGAAAACAGAAGCATATCAGAGAGTATTTGGAGAGTGAAATAGCAGTTATCTTGCTGGGGAGTGTGCTATGACCTGGCATGCTGGGCACATGCTATGATGAAACTGTTTTGATTCAGATGGCGATTGTACACATCAATAGTTTTCCTTATCTAGACACCTTTTTATGAGTTTTATTGTTTAAAAAAGCAATACCTCTTCCAAGTCTGAGCTACCCATTGACTATTTTATCTCATAGAAGGACATCTATTGGTGGAAAAACAATGGTGACTCAGAAAAAGAGACCATATTGTCTTAATGTTTATAATGATTTTAAGAACCAAGCACTGGGCACATCAGATCTACTCTACTCTTTAGGAAAGTAGATTTCATAAGTGCAGGGAAGACCTGGGAGTGGTAGAGCACGCCTGTAATCCCAGCACTCAGGAGGTTGAGGCAGGAAGATTCCCTCAAGTTCAAGTCCAGACTGGACCATATAGTGAGTTCAAGGCCAGCCTGAACTACATAGCGAGACCCTGTCTCAAAAAAACAAAACAGAACAAAAAGTACAGGAAAGATAACAGTCCTCTGGTCATTGGTTCCTTGTGGGAATAAAACTAAAGGGATGCGTAAACAGAATATATATTTGTTAATATTATTTTTTAAAATCATAATTATATATAACATAATATATAGTTATATGAGTAAATAAGTACATGAATCTTAAAATTACTAATATTTTAAAAGTTGTGCATGAGAGAGAAAATAGTGTATTACCTATCAAAATCATTGAGATGGTACAGACATAAAAGAGTCTCATGAGCTCTGATTTTTGGAAGTATCTAGTTGGAAGATGAAAGGAGGGACTTAGTTAAGAAAGTGGACCTTTGAGGTAATTAGACCTAGGTTTGAATCAGATCTCTGCTACGACCTGATTGCTCTTTTACTTGGGGCAGATTACAAAATGATTCTGGGACCCAGTCTCAAAGCCTGTACATGGTAAGATTTGCCGCATTATTTGTGAAGATGAAATGTATGGAGCCCTAGCACATGCTTGCTTTTACCTTCATATTAAAGAACCATCACCTTCTGACACAACCATGTGAGGAACTCTGCTGATGCACTGCTCAATGAAACAAGTGAAACTAGGCAAAACAAAACAAAATGGCCATTTTAAAGTCTGTGGAAGTGGTCTTAAGGACAAACAGCAAGTGAAGAAACATTCACTCAGGAACAGCTATGAAACTTCAATAAGTAATGAGGTAGTGTTTGGGATTTGAACCAGTACAGTACTCCTCCCTTCTTCCCTACTGTGAGCTCGGTGAGGTGGTGAAAGATTCCTGTCCAGATTTTTGCAGCCAACTCTCCTCTCAGCAGCTAGATTGGTAGTTTTCTTCTCAGGAGGAATAGGACATCAGCATTTGGCATCTTTTCCTCAGTGGCCTGTTGCTGATGGTAACACCTAGGAGAGTGCAGTTGAGAGGTGGGGGCTCCCTTTTCTGTTCAAGTCCACTTGTGGAATTTGATTGTCGTATACTAGAATACTGGAGCCCAGATTACGCTGTCCTCAGATCATGAAACAGTGGTTTCATGCATGTTAGAGAGGCCAGGTGTTAGATTTATGGGGGGGGGGTATCTTTAAGGGTACATTATAAACATGTTCACAGAAATAAAGGATCTCAAAATTAAAGTAGTAAAGAAGGTATGATGGTACTATCACTTCAAATAGAGAATACCAATCAAGAGAAATTATGAAAAAGGACTAAGTGAAAATTATAGAGTTGAAATTAAAATAAATTCATTAGAAAAGCTCAACCAGAGATTTGAAATGGTAAAAGAAAAAGCAAACTGAAGAACAGATTAAAAAAAAGGAAAAACAAAAATCAGAGCTTTAGCAAAATATAAAACAGTATCAGGTACATCAATATATATATGATGATAGTATCAGAAGAAAGAGGGAGGGAAAGGAGGTGAGAAATATGTGAGGAAGTAATGGTGGTAAACTTCACCGATTTATTGGAAAACAATATGTGTCCTGGAAGTTAAAAAAAATCCAAGTATGATAAACATAGAGAATCACAAGTAGATGAATCATGATAAATGATTAAAGTCAAAGGCAAGAAAATATTGATAGCACAAAGAGAGAAATGACACATAAAGGAAACTTCAATAAGAATAGCAGCTGACTTTTCAGCAGAAACAATGGAGCTCAGAAGGCAGTGGAATAGCATATTGAAAGTGGTAAAAAAAAAAAATTTGTTAATCAAACTCCTTTATCCCACACAACTATTTTTTTTAAAGAAAGTAGAATAAAGACTTTCAGGTAATGAAAACTGAAATTTTGGCCAACAGAATCACCATACAATTATAAGAAAACTAAAGAAAGTTCTTCAAGCTGAAAGCAGTCTACCTACAAGATACAGAAACAAAAACAAGCAAACAATAACAACAAAAAGTGTACCAGCAGAGGTAATTTTGTGATTATAAAAGGAGGCTAGTCATGATGGTGCATGTCTGTAATCCCAGAACTCAGGAGGCTAAGGCAGGAAGATCTCCATGAATTCAAGTCTAGCTTGGGCTACTTAGTGAGACCCTGTCTCAAAAAACAAAACAAAACAAAACAAACCAAGTGATACATATTTTCTCCTTTTTTTCACTTGTTTAAAAAGCAGTTGTGTAAAATTATATATATGATACATTGTTAGGCCTCTAATGTAATATATTTGTAATATACCCAAACATAATAAATAGCACAAAGGAGGTGTATAGGAGAAAAGCTGCATTGACTCAAGGAAATCATTATAGATGGTTAAGTCATAACCAAAACAATGCATTGTTTAGTTTGTAATATTAGTAGTTGTAGCACGTATAAGATACTAGTACAAGTAAGAGGAAGGGAATAGAGCTGTGAAGGAATAACATTTTTATATATCACTGCAATTAAGCTAGTATAAATTGGAGGTCTTAGGATATGCCAGTATTTTGAGAAGCATGGCTCTAAAGAAAAGCCAGAAAAAGATAGTAATTTGAGCAGGGAGCAAAGGTTGTTGGAAGAGAATTCTCTGTGGGTAATTCACATTCCTTAATGTCTT